CAAACAAGACCAAGTTGCGACAACGAGGTCAACCCACTTTTAACGAAATTGGTTAAATGCACTTCATATATAAATGACAAAGCGTGTCGCTAAGGTGGGACTCTTCGAGGAGCAAATGAAGGTCGAGCGGACGGTCTCAACCGAAGTGTCAGAATAAAGCCACCGGCGGCAAAACAATGGAAATCAGCCGCCATCTTATGGTGAACTCTACCGACGACCTTTTTCATCATGGAGAGAATCATCGAAACTCAATTTTGTATTTGTGTTCACAACTTCAGCATGTATTGCATCGTGTTGATATGAGTTCTTTAGCTGGCATTGCTTTTCTAGAAATATTTCGAGTTCTCTAACCGACGAATCGCGGGAAAGTTGCATGGCGTGCTGTGAGGGGCATTGTGTGCTGGATTGTGCTGAAGAATATGCATATGGACGCTTTTGTTTGTGTCCTTGTGTTCTTTCTGTCATCTATTTACTAGCGCGTCGTCCGGGGTCGCAATCTGATGACCCTGTGTGTGTAAATAGAATTGATGCACTAAACGTGTATGCTAAAGGTCATGTGAGTATGTTCTGCCATCTATAAGCGAGTAAGAGTGGGGCCCATGACACCAAGCCCCTCCAGCATACAGAACCCTGACGTATAGCTATCCTCACGGTTGCTAAAGCCGGACAAGGGCCGAGCCCAGTATCCGACTGGCCTGTAGTGCTGAGTACGTTTGAGGTTGTCGCGTGAATACTGTCGGGAGGAGGGAAGACGAAAGATTCCCACTGTTGCCTCGAGCTCAGAGAATGGTATCTCGAGTACTTCAACCACGGTAATCGAGAGTGACACTACTCACCAGATCTCCATCTCTTCTGTTGACGACCCTTCCGAAATTGTCATGCTTGGGTGCCAAGACATGCGAGTCAGACGGGCCTGGTTCATACGACTGGCGTACGTCGTAGGGCCAGAATTTGGCGGAAAGACCAGGTGTGAATCGCCCCACTCCGCTGTTTGTGGGGCGGGCGGTAAGACACTCCGGTCTAAGATTGGTCAGGTTGCGCAGCTCAACTCCACCAGCATCACTATGGCATTTCGGATCAATTCATTCATGGCCATCTTAGAACTAGACGCATCGCTCCATCTCCTACCCCTCTGCCAGTTACCTAGGTTATGCTCCAGCCTATATGTGCTATACACGTACGCACAAACATACGCACACACACATACACACGCACGCACGCACGCTAACACAATGATATCCTTTGTTTGTGTGGCCAAAGTGCCTTTTGCTCCGCATCAAGCCGTTGTGGCACTGACTCGAGGCTCCTCTTCTATTCAAACTAAGCACATGCTAATCTCATGCATCGTGTCAGGAGGCTTTCTGCAGACGGGTCGTTACACATGTCGGCCCGTGTGCAAATGTAAATCGTGATGCGCACATGCGGTCAGTTACGTCTGCATTTTGCATTGATGTATTGCCCGATTGTGATTGGGCTTGTTGTATCACGTCCGGCTCCGACTGCGAAGGCTGAGCAGAATGCCCGAAATGGGAAGACGCCTCAAACGATGCTAAAACCCGATTGGGAGAGAAAGGCATACCGACTATGCCGGCGGAACCGTACAGACGCGCAAGGAGGCTGGACAGAAAACCGCAAAATGGAGATGTCACCACGAGGGGACTGGGTTCGAGCACCGAAACGAGCCCTTTCCTGAGAGACAGAGAGGCGACGAGAGAGGGGAGGCTGGTCTGTGTGCTGAGCTCAACCGGCAACCGGACGAGTGGAGAAGAGGGAAGAAATACTGGATCTAAACCTTTACTGATACAGTGGCCTGGGCTCAGCTGATTTTTATAGGCAAAACTGGGAGAAGGGCCACTCGGTGTCGGAGACAGAGCGGTGTCCAAAAATGGGTTGGCGAAAGGAGAACTAATAAAGAAAAATTGTTCACCATATTTTCAGAATAAGATCTTTAGTCATCTTAGTTCCCGGCGAAATTAATAGTCGCGAAGGCTACTCATTATGTACCTATTCTTTCGTAATAACTTGATTGCCTAACGAAACTCAAATGCATCAATCACTTCTTTGTACCAATACTATACAGCAACTAAAAGAGTTTTTCTAAATTTCAAATGCTCTACATTCCGAAGTTTGTATTGGAAAGGCCCCCTAGAAAGTTTACCTATTTCATTTTAGAAGAAGTCAGCAACACTTTATACGACCATAGATGACTAAGATTCTTATAGATACGAAGAGTAACTGGGTTTCGATGAATATCCTGAGATAATATTGTTGGGGCGACTTTCAATTCTTATGAAAGTGCATAAAGATTACTTCAAGAAGTTAATACATACACGCAAATACACAATCAAGAATAAGTAGCATGATCCATATGAAAGACAATTGGCTTAATCACTATATTGTTGGGGGACTTTTATTTCGTATGAAAGTGCATGGTCGAAGAAGACGGATGAATCCTGTTGTACTTCGGCCATTTGACCTTTATACGATGCTCAGGTTGACGCAGTCCACGAGACCTCCTTTGTTTTGGGTGAAAACGGGCAGAGCTTTCGTCCATCATATGATGGATATCATCAGAGCTGGGTCTCATTATTTCCTGTAAAAACCGCACGTTAGTACTAGGGCAAGAAGACTATCCGGCTCTATTATACCTCTCATACAGACTCAATTAGGTCAAAAGAAAATTAAAAACCTAGATAGATCGCTATAGAGTTAATTATCTTCCATACGGGTCCTGTTACTCATGCTCAAGTGTGTGTGTGTGTGTGTGTGTGTGTGTGCGTGTGTGTGTGTGTGTGTGTGTGTGTGTTAGCGTCTATACACAATACCGGTCAAAA